GAAAAAAATCCCCTTATTTTTGCCCCTGGAAAAATATTAAAGCTGACAATATAACCAGGCTACAGCAGGCTAGAGCCAGGAGTGACACCACAATAAAGAATCCTGCCTAGACCATATACAGAAACACTGGAAGGAAGGAGGGACAGCACATGGCACTGTCAGGCTAACACAAAGAAAGCCTTTACAGAAAGGCAGGGCAGCACATCATCAAGAAGCAGCTAAAACCCACTTCCATCCCACAAGTCAGTATGTGCTTGTTGAATTCAGGAAGTGGGTTTTGCTGTTTCAAGTACACTTAATACCTGTTTGTTGCTGCCCTACAGAACATCACTGCATTCCCTCAGCCAAACAGCCGATCATTTGTGTTGGAGCCGAGATGTTAACAGCCAACTTGTGCCTATCAGTCAGAATCTACTATGATTAGCTAAAGGACACAGGAAAGCACCAGCGGTCCTCCAGCAAGGAGCTGCATGGCAGGACACAGAGCTAGCAGGTGTTTTATAGAGACTGTAGCAGGCTCAAAAACTTGAGCTTTTCCTTGCCACAATACGCAGTGACAGAGGCCACCAGCTACAGCTACCACTTAAAAAAACCAAATAGGGTGTGTGGTGGAAATCTGTCAACTTCCTCAATATTTTGGTACTAACAATGCAACACTTGCCACAGATGAGTTCCTGGAAAGGACCAGAGCCAGGAAAGAGCGTGGTGCCAGGAGGGGAGCACAACTGGACAAAAAAAAAAAAAAAAAAAAAAAGTGGCAGCACGTGACTTAGGGAACAAAGACCTTGCTTTGGCGTTGCTGCCCAGATATGTTCTTGGGTCAGTTTCCTTCCTGTGCTTTTAAACACTGCCCTTTCCTTAAGCTCAGGAGACAAATTGACTCCTGCCCATCTCCGCAGGTGACCACTCTTACCTAGAGCAGAGCACCTGGGGACAGGCAGCCACGGGGCTGGAGTGCCACCTCCCGGCAAGTCACGGGCAGCGCAGGAGAGCACACCGGGAACACACAGCCTCCTGGTGCTCCAGAGCTCCCAGTTCTTGCTTCTCATTCCTGTGGCCTCAACTAGTTTACGGGCCACTTCCTAGAAGCAAGAGAAATGACGTCGCATAATCCCACGCAGGGACGAATGACATGGCTTGGCTGTGGAGCAGTCACAGAGGACAAGGACTACAGCTGCCCCAAAGATCAGACACTTCCCCAGATCTTCTCAGCAAGATGTCCCCTGGGTCAAGGTCCAAGCACCCTCCAAAAACATGTACAACAGTCACCTGCTAATCAACTCAAAACCACCTCAGAGGTCCAGCAGGACATTCATCAAGGAAAAAGCCCGACTGGTTTTTAAATGCTTGATTCACCTCCTGGCACCAGCCAGCTCTACCCTGGCAACTCTGAGGAGGTACCCAAGTGTTTAACAGGCCTCAAAGGGCCTGTCTAGTGTGAGATTACCCAGTATTCTTAGGGCAGCCAAAAATTTAAGTACATACAAAGGCATCCAGCAGCAGTGAGTTTCAGAGCTGAACAGGCTACAAAATATTTCCTTCCATTTTAAACCAGACACACCTACAATCCCACTTGATTTAAAAAAAAAATATCTGTTTGCAACCCAATGCCTCTCTTGAGAGTCCCAGTGAACTCAAGCTTTCCTCCTGCAGAAAGCAGCCTCACTAAAACTTTCCATATCTTTCTACCATCTTCTATTTCAATTCAGCCTGTAAAGTTCAGCACATGGACACATTCAGTAGAGCACAATTTCTTCTCCTGACCACCTGGTGCCTCACTTGCCTGGAGCTGTCTACCAGGAGCGGTCTTTACCATTTCCTGCTCAAGTTTCATTAGCTAACGTAAAAGAAATGAGTGGGAAATGGTCATGTTCAAAAGGCAAAGATAAATCAGCCCATTACACTTATCTGTGTGCCCAGCCAGAGTGGAAGATCAAGTGGCACAGGCTCGTCCCAGTGTCATCCAGGTAGACAGGATGACACAGTATCTCTGTGTGCACAGACACAACATTCCCAGCACTGCCAACATCCTTTGGCTGATCATCACTGAGACACTGCCCACAGTGTCACACTACTGGCACAAGTACATGCTGCCAGCCTCTGAACAGAGCTGTTCTTCACTCCAACTATTTGGGACATGCATGAGAAGCTTCACACTGTCAGCAGACAGAATCTCTGAAACTTCTGCCCCAAACCAAGGCCTACTACAACCCACAGGACAGTTTTGGGGGAACAAAACACAGCCTGAAAGGCAGTCCAAGTAGTCCTATCTATCCTACCCTCCTTTCTACTAGCATTGCCACTAAATATATTAGGATTACCAACAGAAAACATTAAGACCCACTGGGCATAAACAGCACAGCTTGTGTTTCACAGTCCTCATTCTTCTGTTTTAACTTGTCCATAGTGTCATTAGAAGTTATTAGAGCTGATAATGCTGATAGTGATTCCTACCTTGGGCCAGCTGAATCTGGTAACACCTTCTCTATTCACCAATACTCCACTGGTGTGGTGAGTGCAGACCCAGAGGAGACTCCTCCATCAGTGGTGCAGCAGAACCACAACAAAACAAAACTAAACACTTGGACTCCTTGCCCATAAGGATTTGTAAAAGAGTGGACGTAATTCATGTAGCAAACAGCTTTTTTCCCGCTTTACCTTCCTATAGGCAGCACTGCAAACAGTGGCACTGAAGTAAATCTTGTGGGTAAAAAGGAAGAGATACAAGTAAAGACAACTCAAAGAAGAAACATCCTGTTATGAATGGGACCAATATATTCAAGACAAGATTATGCAGTAAGCAAGAGATACAGATATCTTCACAGAACTGTTTTTTGGTATAGAAAACTCATCAAAATCAGAGACAGAAGCAGAACAAGATCAAAGTTAAACCAAGTTAAGGGCAAAACACTAGTTTTAAAATTAAGTCATTCAAACGGCCGCCAGAACTGGCCTATCAGATTACACGAGATGTTTAAGGTCTTCTGCACAACTCCAGCTGGATGTAGACACTGGATAAAGGTCAACAGGAGTGGTGTAACAGGAAACTGGATTTCCACAGCTATCCGCAGCCTTCCGACCAAGTCATGCAGTGTGTAATCAGGGCAGGCATGGCCTGAGACCTTTCAGTTCATCTTTTCCACACACTGATTTTCAAAGTGGAACAGTTAGGGAACAGCAAAGTTTTAAAGTCTGAAGGATACTCATGTGTCCTGCCCAGACTATTGCCTTTAAACAGATATGACTTAAGCTAAGACACCATTAGTGATTACTTTAACACTCCCACAGAGATCAGACATTTCCATAAGCCTGTAGGGCAGCAAAGAAAAAGCATCAGTGGAGGACAAACTACCTAATATGGCCAGGCTAAAACAGTACTGATGTCTTTACAGCAAATTAAAATTGAACAAAAACATAAGAGAATAGAAGAGATTCTAGGATCACGAGCTAGAAACTGCTTCATCCATTGAAAAATACTGCTGCAAAATAGGGGCTTGGTCATGCCTTGCTCCGTATCTGGAACCAAATATGAAAACTCCATGAGCTTTAGTGACAGGCATATAAGAAAAAAAATACTTATTAGAAAATAGGAAAGGCTTAAAAGACAGGCAGCTAAATTTAGCACAGTGACCCAGAAAATAACAGATATGAGCCCCTGGGTTTGAAAAATGAGATAGTGCTACTGTCTAGATATAGAAACAACAGAACAGGAAGGAATACAGCAGAGACAGGTCTTTAATCAACATCTGCACATGCAGGAGACACCACATACAGGTCAAAATTTAAACATCTTTGAATGGACCAAAGGCCTTTCCACATCAGCCTACAACAGGTGGCAAGCAAGATAACACATATAAAACTACCAAAAATGCAAGATTAAACACCACTTGCCAGAGTACCTGCAAAGCTCATGGTATCAAATAAGTGAATAGTGATGTATCAGCTATCTGACTCGAGAACAGAATACAATCTTGGTCTCAGTGGTGCAAGTTAAAGTCATGTTCTACCGAACCAGAAATTCACTTCTATCCATGCAATATCTCCTTAATGGTTAGAAAAGGTCACTAACTATTCCGTTTCCAAGCCAAACTAGAGCTTATAGGAATACAGACTAAGAAGAAAGGCAATTTTACTTCCACGTTTCAGATGCAAACTAGCACAACTGATATCTCACCAAGTCTAACAACTTCATTTTATTCCTGATTAAAACAAACGCAGTGTGCAGGGAAGCAGAGGGTTGTGCAGAACTGCTAGCAACTTACTTGCTTCCTTGCAAGTAAGAACACTGTGCTGTTTCAAGCTTTTCCCATCAGCTGAACCTGCTGTGGAAGCACAAGCCCCTGTGTCTTTTCATGCACTGACAGACACACTGAGGCTGCTGCAGACCTGTCTTTCCAGCAGGCACATTTTAGGCTCTCCCTTCCCCTAGCACTGGTGTTTGTTAGATCCTACTAAACTGGCTAAGAAAAACACTTCAGTCAAAAGATTAACCCCAAAAGGGAAAGGTTGTTCAATTTTTTGGTCAGCTTAACTCCCTGAACCAGTTTGTGGGGTCAGAGAAAGGCCTACAGCCCCTGGGTGGGATGGTAGGATCACAGTAGCCCCAACAAAAGCTGATCAGCCTCAGTGGGTCAGAACTAGCAGGCAATTGCTGGCATGCACATATGTTTTGCAGCAGGATCACATATTTAAAGACCCAGGATCATTTAACACAAGGGACAAGGGTAAGTGACAGCTCTAATAGAGACTAGACCAATTCTGCAGTGGAAGGAAGCTGTGCCAATGAAGCATACACACACCTTGGGACCAGAAGCCTTTTACAACCTAGCGACACTGTCCTGCTGGTTTGAGACCTCCAGATACAAGCAAACCAGTTTCATTCCAGAAGCTGCAGAAACCACAGCAACTACAGGGCTGAGCACGGAAAGCTGGTCTGAGAGGCCTCAAGTCTGGAAGACGACCAACATTTCAAATGCTGTTCTCAAACAGTTGGTACTCACGTGATGAAGTCCAGAAAACTTGCTAGGGGCTCATATGCATGGTTCCTCATGTGACGAAACTCCACCACCATCTTCTCCTTTAGCTTGTCATCTATGACGGAGACTGTGAGCGGGGAGGCTTCATTGGCCAAGAAGTTCCCATAGTCTGTGCTTTGTAGGTGCAGTTTCAAGTCTGAAAAAGAAAGAATAATTCTACTTTACAGGGTTTGTGTTGGGTTTGGATTTTTTTTTGAGCAGAGCCAGGCAAGCTGTTGCTCAGCACTTCTTCCAAGCATCCTCTTCTCTGAGGATCACCTAGACAAAACCCATGTGTTAAGTCATACACTTATACTTGTGTTCAGTTTTATCATCAATCCAAACTCAGGAAAAGATTAGTGTTTCACCATACCAGCCTTGTGCCATCTTAAAAAGGAAACTGTGACACTATCTGTGTAACTCAGCACACATATGCACCAGCTGTCCACTGTGCTTGATCAAGGTGGAAGGTTACCGGTCTTTTCGGAAGTATTTTCTAGAAATCTAGAAAAAAGCACAACAACTTAAGCACTTCCTCTAGCCAAAAGGGCTCTGGCTGCAGGCTTCTCTGAAGCAATCACGACCAAGAACCTATGTGCACTCACAAGCAAGTTTCCTCAGATACTAGTGATGTAGAGGCATCTGAAAAGCTTTCAAAGGCAAAGAGACATAAACAGCAACCTTGATATTATAAAGCAGCTAGGTATTACACCATTAAGTCAGTTCAGCTAATTGCATTGTTAAAGAGAAGTCAGGCATTAAGAGGCAGAGAGGAGCTAGTGAAGAAAGTGGCCATTTAAATCCATCTCGTATGGTAGGCAACCCCTGCCCCAGATGGAGGAACATGCTCAGAAGCCCTCCCCTCCTCCAGTTTCAAGCAGAGGAAACCTTTGTTTCCTCTGTTAACCTTGCTGCAGGTCAGGTGCCCAACCAAGCTGCAGTCCTGGCCAAGAAGCAACCACAACTTGCTGAGCTCTGTCAAGATAAAACTCTATTTGAGCCAAAAGTATCTCTATGGAAAAACTGAATCCAGAGCTGAGGAATGTCATATAATCCTACTCCTCAAAGGTCTACTACTCGCACTGGTACACAATGTTCACCTCGCTTCAGCTTCACTTCAGAAGGCCAGTTAGGCAAGCACCCTCCCAGGGATACAAGACCTTTATGGGGAAAGGAGTAGCTGGAGGAGTTTAGTCAAACCAGATGTGAACACACTATCCAGAGAAAACAAAAAAGACAACATTTCTCCCTGGTTTCTCTGAAGCAGAAGCACTGAGGCGGCCCCTCCCTTCCACTGAACCGTATGAGCCCGCAGCATTACGGTATCAGCATCCACAGCACCAAGGTTAGAGCAAGGACCCAGCCTAGCCTGAGGAGGTTTATCTTTTGACATAAAATGCAGCTACAGGAACAAACTGGAGAGCATCCTCCACATCGGGCTCCATACAGAGCTCGTACTGTACAGTGCGATACTCTCCTCAGCCCAAGGTATGGAAGGGTCAAACAGCTTTCAAGCTGACTTGAACTCTTCTGGGTATTACTATTATTCAAAGGTGGTTTTGACCCAGTACTTTTTATTTACAAAGATGTTACCACTGCTAAGTCTCTCAGAAAACAGATGTTGGTTATAGAGAGCAGAAAAAAAGGCCAGAGATGTAAACAGCACCCAGGTTCTGTGATGTTTCTTGGTGATTTACAGGGGAGTTTGGCGGTATTCTTACTTTTAGTAAGGAATCCTGGATGCAGCAAAGAGAGCTATTTGCCCAACAACACGCATCATGGCTGAAACAAAGCAGATACTACACCTAGATTTCTGTGCCCCAGATTACGCTGCAGCTAAACAGCTGTGTTTTATTCTACCAAAACATTAAGAACTTATGCTCACATTTTCAAGGTGGGAAAACATGGTCCAGATAATTCATGACAGTGCAATTTTCAACATGACCCCTGTCAAACACCAGATTGTGCCAAAACTCAGAAAGCCCCTCACCTCTGTGCAGCCTGTATAGGATTGTTACTAATAATTGCTTCCTAAACCCTGTAAAAAGCCCAGCTCACAGGCAGCACCCTGCATGCAGAGTTCTCACCCATCTATTTTGAAATTTCTGGGTTTTTTTTAAAAGCTAAGACACAGTTAGAGGGGAAATCTACTGGAACTACATCTTAATGAGTTTCAGTTCCCTTGTCTGAAAGCTCTTGGCTGATGAGCTTTGGAGTCTGAGTGGAAATTAAGTTCCACTGTCAGATCAGGGCTTTACTAGTTTGCTTTTAGAGGAGGCTGGAGAAAGCATGGAGAAAACTCAATAGTTACTCAATGAATATGAGAGAAATGTCCCTGTTTAGAGTATTGCATCCATAAAATCAGACTGCAAGGGAAGGCACAGGGGACTGCAGTAGCTACACTCATGTACCTCCTACTTTCAGTTCTCTAATGGTACAGAGCTCTAATGAAAACTAAGCCTGCCCTAAGAGGCCTGTAATATTATTTCACAGCTATACAGGACCTTGGAGAGGAAGCACCTATTGTATATCCTACCATGTCTTACTTCTGTAGGGAAGCTTCCAAAGCTTTCAGCTTGTTTTCCCAACTCCAACGCTGCTATAGCAAAACCATCAGTTCCTTTTGGTGTCATCATGACATGCAACTCCACACTTACTTTTGAGGCTGCAAGAAGCTGCCTTGCTATCAGGTCATTTGATAAGAGACCCATTGACACAAAAAGTAGAGTTTGCTGGGCCATCCACTTCCAACAGGTCAGACCTGCATCGCGTTTAGACCAGAGCCACACAAGCTGCACACTGAGCCTTCCAGTCTCACCCTCAACACTCTGTAAGCTCCCATGAGCTGCTTGGCCAGAGCATTTTGTCCTGCTCAACGTGGGGGTTGCCCCCCCCAACTCCACAGCACAAGAGCCAGCACAACACTATGTTGCAACTGGAATAAGGGCCATGTTTATATAACACTTGGAATTAATTTTTATGGGGAAGGCCAGCCACAAACTGCAGGAACTAAACTCTTCTGAATCTCTTAGCATCCAAGCAGACAGAACAGAACATATTTTCCAAAAATTGGACTGGATTTATAAACCTAGATTCAATGCATCCCACAGTGTACCAGTGCCTTACATGAGCCTGTCTTTCTTCAGCCAGTGGGCCGGTCACCAAGCCTCAGCCAAGGGAGTTTGGGAGTTTTTAAGAGGACTATTCACATGTCACGCTTCTCAGTTCAGAACAGACTAATCCCGTGGTTTCACAAGTCCCCTGCCAGAAGAGCTGTCCCAGTAGCACTGTGACTAGTAAGCAGACCCACTGCTGAGCAAACTCCAGGCTCTTCAGAAGTTCAAGTTCCTATTTCCTAATACAAATGCAAACCAAGCTAGAGTCTGCCTCCGGCAGTAACAGCAGCACCTCACCAGGAGCAGCTGCCAGAGATCCCAGACACTGCATGTCAAGGAGATGCTGGCTGCGTGTCTTCTGCCGTGCCTCTTCGGAGAGTGCCCTGCACCTAGAGCCCAGCCACGCCGATGAGCTCCTCCAGATGCTGACTGACAGCAGCACACAGCCTCAATCTGTCAGCTGCTTTCAAGAGGTACGTTTGCCTGTTTCGGCATTTTTCCAAGCAGTTCACACACTTTAAGAAACAGACCGAGCCAACATCTGGCAAGGGAGCACTTGAATTACCACAACACTTTTGTTCTCTTTCCTCCCCCGCAAAAGCTAGTAAATTATGGCCAGGTCTCAGTTCCCAGAAAGCTGCCTCGTGCAAGAACACAACAGCTTGTCAGAACGACAGCCTTTTTCTGCTGAGTACTCAAGTAGGGTAGCGCTCAAGATTACCATGACATGTACTTGCAGCTACCTCCTTTCAACTCTTGGACCAGGCCCTCTGGCTTCGGCGCAGCTGGCTGTACCTGAGACATAAACACAACTGAAGCTCAATTCAACACACCACTGTGCAAACACCACACCTCGACATTTCAGATGACATTTTCTTGAGAGACTTTGGATCCACAGTAATACTACTATCCTCTCCTGCAAGTTAGCTTTGTCATAACAAGGAATCAAGCAATTACTCAGTCCTTCAGACATCTGTCGGTCAAGTCTGTCTGAGTAGGGCTTATAGGACAGAGTGATCCACAGCCCCACCAGCTCATACTTCAACCTCTTCCTTCTTCAGCATCTTCCCATCATTACACTACAGAGCTCTGAATCAAGTTAAGGGCTCGAACACTTCCAAGCAAGGACCAATTTGTCTTCTCATGCACAGGCGTGGAATTGGCTTTCGCAACCTCCAAGCTGAACTGATGTTTCCAAACAGTTGTCTGCTGTAACCCCAGCATCTCACTCCCAAGTACCCAGGGCCATCACTGCATATATAAAAATTAAAATACCATTTCCCATCTCTCAGGCCTGAGGCAGTAAAGTAGCTGAGGGATTATGCAGCAGTCTGCAGATCAGCTACCTTGACCACATCTCCCACAATGCAGTCATTACCATTTGGTTTGTTGCTGTCTGTTTGGCCTGTTTATAGCCACCTCAGACACTCCTGAAGCTGATTCTCTGAAGTCTCACTTGAGAAGCACCCAGAGACCCTTCATTCCCTGCATAGTTTAAGACCTTTTCTCTGGTTACACACCACCAGCAGTGACATACCATCTTGCCCCTGCTGTCAGGCAACAAATTCCTTTGGGCCACCATTGGACACAGAGAAGTGCCTTCTCTGGCCCTTTCTGCCCATCAGTGTCTCACACCTAGCTCTTCACCTCTGTGTTTAAAATGTTTTCAGCACCAAACAGCAGCCTGTCTTTCTAAGCCCAGCCCTTGCTGGGGTTGAACTCACCACCTGCAGAGCTTCCAACCCAGCACAGTCACGTCTTGTTTCCTTAGGAGCCCATTAACCAGGCAGCCCTCTCCTGATCCTTCCAAAAGGTGAGGTAACCCCTCCTAATCTGCCTGCATCTCCAATAAATTCACCCCTACATACCCTTTTTTTCCCTTTCTAAAAGGAAACTGCACTAAGTCACAGCTGTAACCTCAGAGGTCCAGTACACTAACAGGACATCAGCCTGGCACCTGGTGCAGCAGCAGTTTAAGGGAGAGGCAACAAATCATTCAGAAGCTAAAAAAAACAGTGCAGAGTCTCACACAGCAGGACAC